GGACTCGATCCAGGGACTCCAGGATCATGACCTGAGCTGAAGGCAGTTGCTCAACCAACGGAGCCACCCAGGTGCCCTCACTGAATGCTTTTTAAGGAAAGAATGGGAGACACAAAAAAGAATGTGGCCTTTTGATTATTCTCACAAGTGATCATTCAGTATATATATCATGCATATTTAAACCTCACAACAACTATGTATGGTAGTTTTTATCATCCCCATTTCACAGATAAGGAAACTGAGGCTTAAAGAGATTTAGAAATTTTCCCAAATCTGCACACCTGGTACATTCCAGAGCACAAGGGTCCTGAAAGAGTTGAGCACTTCACTCTTCACTTTTAAAACATAATCTTAATACAAAAAGGATGCCTGGGTGGCTCAGCTGGTTAAGCGGCTGCCTTCAGCTTAGGTCATGATCCTGATGTCCTGGGATTGAGTCCCGCATCGGGCTCCTTGCTCAGCAGGGAGCCTGCTTCTCCCTTGCCTGCCACTCTTGCTTGTGTTCTCTCTCTCTCTCTCTGATTAAAAAAAAATACATCTTTCAAAATTAATTTGCCTTTCTTCCTAAGGTTCAGTTGGAGTTGCCAAGATAATAGATTACCTGAGACAAGCAAGTAGTCAAAATTCTGAAGATAGTGGACTTGCGGAGCTATGGAACATACTTGATCCTGAAAAGGGAGACCTACATGTGGACCTGGAAATTTTTCGTGCCATCATGAAAGAATGGATGGCTTGCTGTAGAAACAAATGGTAATCATTGGGGTGCCTGTGTGGCACAGTCAGTTGAGTGTCTGACTCTTAGTTTCAGCTCAGGTCATGATCTCATGGTTATGAGATCGAGCCCCGTGTCCAGCTCTGCACTCAGTGCAGAGTCTGCTTGAGACTCCCTCCCCCTCTCCCTCTGCCCCTCCCCCCTGTTCTTGAGCCCATGAGCTCTCTCTCTCTCTCTCATAAATAAATCTTTTTAAAAAATGGTAATCATAGTCCCAGCAGGATGCATATTCAGGTTCTGTTTTAACAACTGACTACAATTAATGCTAATCACTGTTTTTGTGTGTGTATGTGTTGATGGACGTACTATAATCCAGTGCTCCTCACACTTTAGCATGTACTGGAATCACCTGAACTATTTATCATACCTGATTGTTGCCCCCCAACCATAATTCAGCAGGTCTGGGGTGAAGCCTGATAATTTGTGTGCCTAACATATTTCCAAGTGATAATGATGCTGAGGAGTGTATGTGTACACATGGGGGTGATAAGCATATTTTGAGAATGTATTATATTAATTATGTTGATCCTAATAACATCCATTTATTGTGATTAGGGGCAGCACATATTATTATGTTCTCACAAAGAATTGAGCTGACATAGGAGTGAAGCAAATTATTGATAATGACCGGCAAATCTCCAAATGCATTTAAACACAGAGTGAGTGCCCTTTAGAGGTCAGTGAGGATAATTAGGTAGTGAATATAATTTGAAAGCCTAGGATAAAGAGAAGCTGAAGGGAAAAGGAAAAAAGTGGAATTGGAAAAAGAAAAAGAAGGAGAAGAGTATGCATGATGTCAGGTGTGCCTGGGTGGATCCTGGAGAAATTTTACCTTCTTTCACAGGAAGCCTAATTTCTCTGGCTTTAATCAGCCACCGATCTCCAGCTATGAGCTTATATATACTAGGAATTTTCTTAAATAACACTGCAAGCCTAAAAAGTGACAAAACTTGCTAGATTTCACGTAAGGTTAGGATGTCTAGATGACTTAAGATGACCAAAATGTTGTTTGCCAAGAACGAGTTAATCATGAAAGCAAGATAAATACATAAAAATATCTAATTTTACTAGTAATCAAAGGAATACAAATAAAGACGACATACCAGTTTTAAAAGAATAATTCTACCCTATGTTGTCAGGGCAGGTGGAGAAATAAGCCTCCTTTCATACAGTGTTGCTGGTAGTGCAAGTTGGCATGGTTTTTTCAAGAACGATTTAGGAATATATATCAAACCCTTAAAAATATGTGATGTATTTGGGCTAGTCATGTAACTTCAAGAAGAATAACCAACCATATATGTAGGTTTATGACAGTGATAAATAAAGGCAACTTACAAATTTTAAAATAGAGGGTCAGATTAATAAATTATAATACTTCCATTCACTAGAATCCTAAATAGTCACTCAAAATTATAATTAGATAAACATTTGAGAAGAGAAATATTCATATATATTTATTTCAAATATGACCATAAATACATATATGTATTATAAACCCATATTTATCAAGGAAAAATATGCATAAAGAAAGTTGGGAAGAATATATTCCAAAATGATTATCTTTCCATGATGGGTTCATCTTTCTGTTTTTTTCTTATGCATTTTCCCATTTTTCTAAAATACTTAGGTTTGTATAATAAAAGTATTAATAATCTATTATAAAATGGTGTGAGAGCAAAAGAAAAGAACTCCAATTTTTATAAAAAAGTAAAGAAAAATATGGGAGGTATAAGCACAAAATAGAAGAACAGAAGCTCAAATGGTGATAGGTATATAGCTATCAATAGTGAAGTGGTGCGTGAATTATTCTGACAGCCGTCGCACACTGAAACACAATGAGATGTTAGTACAGATCTAGAGAATTTTGTAGCTGTTCCAAAGAGATAGTCTAAGTATTTGGCATTTAGAAAGATTAAATAAAACTTAAAATCATAGTATAGAAACTCTTAAAAAGGAAATGGTTGAAACTTTAATATGTTTGAGGGTTAGAGCTAGAATTTGTGTGCTGGATAGTGGACTATATAGAGCTTTCCCCAAATTTCAGAAGTAAATGCTCAAAGTACAATTCATTTAGGTTCAACTTGGTTTTCCATGAGAAAGGAAAAATGATAGCACCATAAAAGTATTAGTTGTTCATGCCTTTTCCTTCCCAATTTTTCAAATCCCACAGCCTTGTTATCTCTGCAAACTTATTACGCCAAACTATGTTGACTTCCTAATCCCTTGAGACCTCCCGTCCCCAATCATAACTGCTGCACATCATTACCTGCCTACTTCTGCATGCACATTTTCTTTTTCAGGTTAGATTAAAAGTTAATGGAAGATAGAGGTAATGCCTTAATTCTCTTTTCTATTACCCTATCTAAGCACAATGTCGAACTCCAAATAGTTGCTGAATGAATAGATAGTTTTAAAATTCAGAAAGAAATACCTGAATAGAGAAGTTACAGAGCACATCTGAAAAATTAGCTGAGCTTTGGGCTGGCAAAGAATCCTAGCTCATGGATTTTGTTTGGTTGCAGGGAAAGAATGCATGGTGGATCAGGTGGCACCGATGATTCTGTTTTTGAACAGGACAGCATAAAATCAAGTAGAGCAAGTATGCATGTGTTTCTTCCTGTTTGTTCTGCCACTTTCTTGTGGTTTGGAGAAATGGATTTTTCATAAAACACTCTTGTATGTGTTTCAGTTAAGATGACCACAGATAAAACAGAATGTACGTCATGGAGCTTCGAGGCTTTGGGTGGAGATATGTCTAAAGGAGTCTTGTAAGCATTCTTACTTGTAATGCTTTCTCAAGTACCTCTTATTTCTTTTTCTCATTTATTTCATAGGTCTACATGTTTTACTTACGATAAAGCCACTTAGCTTTGTGTATGTGTGTGTGTGTGTGGGGGGTGGCTAACCAATCTTTTACTTAACTCTTGACTATTCTATCCCAATTGTATTAGAACTAATTTCACTAGGAGCACAATTTATATAAGACTAGTATTATATAAATTAACATTTCCTCACTAATAAAACCCTTCTCCTACATTAACTTCATGTGCTTTCCATGGAAAACAAGTTCCATTTGAAGTAAAATTATGACATTGACCTTAAGCTCTTTGGGTGATTGTTTTTAAAGCACCTCTTTAATAGATACTTTTAGATATGAATGAGAAAGGCTGTTTTCTGCTAAAGGTGTGTAAGTTTTAGATATCAAGGAGAGGCAATTCTCTCTCTCCCTTATGTTCTCTTTGCTACTTTAGGTTTGCCCACGCAAAAATGTGTGGTAGGAACCATGTACCCAAGCTGTGCTAAGCACTGGGATAAGATGGCAAAGAGGAAGAGAAGGCCTGGGACTCCATGAAACATGCGGTCTAGACTCTCAAAGGGCCTGGGCTCTAATGTCAGGATCAAGGGTGACAAAAACATTAACACACTGTAGAAAATATTAGGAAAGATGAATACTAAACTGTGAGCTACAGGCTGCAAACATAAGTCGCTAGGAATTGTTTCCTAGTTAAAGGCCTATTAAAACCTGCCAAGATCCCTTGGCTGAAAGAGTAACAATGTGTCAATTTATTTCAGAAGCTCTCATGACCCAGGCAGAAATGGAAACTCTTCATAGTAGGTGGAGGCAAGTGTTAGAAGCGAAGTGGAAAAGAATTAACAAAGCTGTGGCAGCTGACTTCACCACTGGCCGATGCTGAATATTTGGCAATTTTGGAAAAATCTCTGCTACCATAACAATGCTTGAATAAATATTTATTATATAAATGGACTACACTTACTAGGATCAAAAGGGATAACGTAGAAAGTTGCACAGTGATATATGCTTTATTTTGATCAGGAGGCACTGGAGATGTTGAAGATGATTCTCATTCATTCTTTCACCCACAGAGAAGTTTCTGATTTGATTACCTATGTAGCAGACCTGCATTTTCACAAGCAGAAACTGGAGGAGGAAAATAATAAGTTCAAATTGGCATTAGAAACCTTGGAAGAAGCTAACTGCCAATTATCAGAGGATTGTACTGAGCTACGCCATCAGATAAAAAGGTGACTCATAGAGAAGGGTACAGTGTGCTGGGAGCTTTCCATTCTTAAAAAAATCTGTTTTTTAAATTGGGTTCTAACTCACATGGCATAAAAATTTACCCTTTTAAGGGGCACAATTCAGTGTTTTTTTACTGTATTTGCAAGGTTGTGCAGCCAATTACCATGATCCAATTCATCACTCCTGAAAGGAAACCCATAGCTGTTAAGTGTCACTCCCCATTTCCCTTCCCCTCAGCCCCTGACAACCACTAATCTGCTTTCTGTCTCTATGGATTTACCTGTTCTGGCCATTTCACATAAATGGAATCATACAATATGTGACCTTTGTGTCTGGTTTCTTTTACTTAGCATAATGTTGTCAAGGTTCCATGTAGCATATATGGAACTACTTCGTTCCTTTTTGTGGCTGAATAATATTCCATTGTATGGACATACAGTTTTGTTTATCCATTCTTCAGAGAATGGATATTTGGGGGTATTTTCACTTTTTGGCTATTACAAATACTCCTGCTATGAACGTTTGTATACAAATTTCTGTGTGAACATTAGGCTTTTAGTTCTCCTTGGTATATACCTAGAAGGGGAATTGCTGTGTAGTGACTTAGAGTTAGAATCTTGAAGAACGGCCAAATTGTTTCCAAAGCAGTTGTACTATTTTAGATTTTTGCTAGCAATGTTTGGCAGTTCTTTTCTAGCAATGATATTCTTTATGTCATTCAAAGCAGTGTTGCCTATTTAAGACCAGTATACCTATTGACCAAGTGTGGATCTCTCCAGAGCATTCTGTGGTTCAGTTGGACTCTTACTCTATGCAAATTCCCATGCTAAGTACAGTTGACCCTTGAATAACAGATTTGATCTGCACGGGTCCACTTACACATGAATTTTCTTCAATACAGTACAATACTATAAATGTATTTTTTCTTCCTTATGATTTTCTTAGTATTTTATTTTCTCTAGCTTACTTTATTGCAAGAATACAGTATATAATACATATAACATAGAAAATATGTGTTAATCAACTATTGATGTTATTGATAAGGCTTCCAGTCAACAGTAGGCTATTAGTACTTAAGTTTTGGGGGGAGTCAGAAATTACACATAGATATTTTAGGAGGGTTGGTGCACCTCACACCCATGTTGTTCAAAGGCCAACTATATTATGAGAGATTCATTGATAAGCCAGGTTTAAAATGTGCTTTCAGGGTACATGATAAGGATGATGGATGATAAGAAAAGTTGTGACTTTAGCTTAAGATAAAAGGGATAAAGGACCTAGGGGACATATCACATAGTATCAAGTACTGGTAAAATGGGTTGTGAGGAGATGCCTAAACTTCAGGGGGAAAAAGCAGCAAAGTTTTCACAAAGTCTGCAGTTACAGATGTTATAGGTCCTAAAATTTTGAACAGAAAAGTTCTAAGTTAACTTGAAAAGACAGTAAAGCATTCTGACCATGGATTCTTTCCCTCATAATTTTCGAACAGCCAGTCCAGCCTCCAAACCAATCTATAAAATAAAAAGAACTGCTTACCTTGAGTTTTCTCCATTCCACAATAGTTTTATTTATTATTTATTTGAAATATAATAATTCAGAGTTTCTCTTAAAAATCTATGCCTTAATAAAAAGAAAAAAAAATCTATGCCTTGAGAGGCGCCTGGGTGGCTCAGGCTGTTTAGCATCTGCCTTGCTTAGGTCATGATCTCAGGGTCCTGGGATCGAGCCCCGCATTGGGCTCCCTGCTCAGCAGGGAATCTGCTTCTCCCTCTCCCTTTGCCTGCCACTCCCCCTGCTTGTGCTCTCTCTCTCTCAAATAAATAAATAAAATCTTTAAAAAAAATCTATGTCTTAGAGGAATCTACTACTTAGTTCAACAAAACATCATCTTTCATCTGGATCACTACAGCAGCCTCCTGATTCGTCTCCCTGCCTTTCCAAAACTAGTGCCACACGGGCAGGAATGCTCTTCCTAAATGCTAGTCTGACCACATCATGTCCCTGCTTTAAACACTTCCATTGAACTTGGGTTCACTCTAATCTTGGTTCTTATCACACTGTATTATAATTATGATGGTCTGTTTACCCTTCTGGTCTATAAACTCCAGGAAGGTAGAGTTCTCATGCTTGGACTCACTTTTGTCTTCTTCAGGGCCTAACATAATGCCTGGTACAGAGTTGGAGCTCCATGAACATTTGTTGAACGATCAGTGTAATTTCCTTAGCAAGGAAAAAAACGGTACCTTCTTTGAGATCTGCTCAGAAAACAGTTTATAATCCAGTGGGAATACAAGCAATTCCAGGATATGGATTACCATAATTCATTTAATAGGGTTTTTTTTTTGTTGGACATTTAGGTTGTTTGGTATTATAAACAATGCTATAATAAACTTCTAAAGTAAAGTACATAGACACTATTTGTAATAATTTGTTTAGTTGTCCTCTCCTTCACTAGTATGTAACCTCTACAAGGGCAAGGACTGTGTCTCTTGTTCACCATCATAGGCCTCTTTGCAGGATACAGCTCCTGGAACATGGTATTAGGCAATAAATAATTGTAGAATTGCATTAACTAAATATTATATCTTAGTGGAAGGAAAGAACCATGTGATCCAGCCAATGATGAATTTCAAAGGGAGACTCCAAATCTTTATCCTCAAGAATATGTTTGTTTCCTTCTATCTCTCTTGCTCCCACCACACTCCCCCCGAATCTCTTCCTTTTCTAAGGACTGTGAAAGATCATGGGTGTATTTTTACTATTGTTGGCATCTGGTTTAAGCCTTTAGTGGTTTTCAGCTTGGGTCCAAAAATAGTCCTTGGCTTTACTTTGTATCTTTGACGGTTATATTTGAGGTTTTGCTCACTGCCTCCCCCTCCCACCCCCACAGTGCCCACCAAGCTATTATGAGAACAAATCTGTTAAAAGAAGAACTGGAGGAACTGAAAATTAGTATGAATGCTTCTGAAGAGCAGAAGACCATGATTTTAGCCCAGAACAAACAATTAGTAAGTCAGCCAAGTAATTTGAAATTGGCATATAGTTTACATAACTGAAATCCAAGAGGGTTTATTTGGAGGCAAAAATCAGAAGTCAGGGGGACGCCTGGGTGGCTCAGTCAGTCAAGCGTCTGCCTTTGGCTCAGGTCATGATCCCAGGATCCTGGGATTGAGTCCTGCATCGAGCTCCCTGCTTGGCGGGGAGCCTGCTTCTCCCTCTGCCTGCCGCTCCCCCGCTTGTGTTCTCTCTATCTCTCTGACAAATAAATAAAAACCTTTTTAAAAAATCAGAAGTCAGGGACGCCTGGGTGGCTCAGTCAGTTAAGCGTCTGCCTTCAGCCCAGGTCATGATCCTGGGATCCTGGGATCAAATTCCACGTCGGGCTCCTTGCTCAGCAGGGAGCCTGCTTCTCCCTCTGCTTCTCCCACTCCCCCTGCTTGTGCTCTCTCTCTCACTATCTCTCTCTCTCTGATAAATAAATAAATAAAATCTTTAAAAAAAAATCAGAAGTCAGTAGACTGATGAATGAATTGGTAATACCTTAGAAAAGTAAAGGCAAATAGGATAGACTGTTTTTCTTTTCAGCCAAGATTAAAATTCTTTACAAAACTCAAGTCATATTCACAATGGTTTCTGAAGATCTAGAAGATCTCTGGAATGCTTCCTGAAGTTGATAGGTGAATTCATAAATACCTGATACTAAAAACCACTTGAATTTTCTAAAAAAATAAATTCCCTATCAAATTTTCACCTTTTTCTCAGGTTTAAAAAAAAATCCATTATCTGAGTACTTACAGATTACTAAAAAGCCCCATAAATCAGTCCTTACACTAAATAAACACAGGCTTGAAATTTTTAGAGCAAAACCTTGTTTAGACTAAGCTTTAAATTCAAGCTAAGTTTTCATTAAAAACTAAGTTAAACTGAATTGAAAACTGTTTCTAAATTGAGAATGTTAAATTATTGTCTAGAGCGTTAGTAATAATCTTCCAAATCCTGATATATTCCAGCGGTATTCTAGCATTGCTGACAATGGTGGGGTTGGATGAAAGTCATTCAGACTAATTCCTTTTTAGATCTATAAGCCATCAGGAGACTTGGGCTCCAGGCCTATGTCACTCCCACAACCAACACAGATTAGCTTAGCTCTTGCCTCAGCACGAATGTGGGGACTAGACTCACTGAGTGTCAGGTGACTCTGCAAGTCTCTGAATGCAGTACAGGAAAGGCTCAGTTTGGGACCACAGAGGAACTTGTATGTGGAGGAAATGCTGAGAAATGAGCAAGTAGCCATTCTTGCGAGTCAGACTACTGACATCCAAGGCCTGATTCTAGCGACTGTGGAACTTTAGGCAAACCACGTAACCTCTTTCACCTTTAGCATCCTTACGTATAAAATGAAGATAACCGTACTACCTACCCTAGGGCTGGAGGGTTAAATAAGTTAATACGTGTAAAATCATCAATGTCCTTTTTCCTCCTAGGGCTCAATATTGTTAGTTGTGATTGTTACAAAGTCAGAATCCTAGATACACAATCCTAACCTTTTGCATTTTATAGTGTTTTACAATTTCAAAAGAATTTTTACTACTTTACCTCACTGGTCATAGAAATTCTGTGAGGTAAAAACAGAAGTTGATATTCTTCAATTAAAAAAATTAATAGTTATAGGTGAAGTCCAGAAATGTTTTGATTATTCAAAGTCAATTATCTAATAAACGTAGAGCTACGACTGAACTCAGGTCTTCAGATTCCAATTACGTGGTGTGTGTGTTCTTTCATTCTCATACCAATGACATCTTAAAGTTTTGGTTGTTTTTTTTTAAAGATTTTATTTATTTATTCATGAGAGACAGAGAGAGAGAGAGGCAGAAGGAGAAGCAGGCTCCCAAGGAGCAGAGAGCCTGATGCGGGACTCGATCCCAGGACCCTGGGATCATGACCTGAGCCGAAGGCAGACGCTTAACCATCTGAGCCACCCAGGCGCCCATACCAATGACATCTTAACCTGAGCTGGTTCTCCTTATATTTCTATGTTATAAAGGTAATACCTGTTCACTCTATAAAATGAGGAAATGCAGGGGTCCCTGGGTGACTCAGCCAGTTAAGTCTCCGACTCTTGATTTCAGCTCAGGTCATGATCTCAGGGTTGTGGGACTGAGCCCAGGGTTGGGCTCTGCACTGATCATGAAGCCTGCTTAGGATTCTCTCTCTCCCTCTCCCTCTGCTTCTCTGCCCCCCTCTTCCTCCCACCATAAGCATGTGCATGCGCACGCATGCTCTCTCCTTCTCTCAAAAAAAAAAAAATGCCTATTAACAAAAAATAAAATCCCACAAAATCCTTAACTTATCCTACCCACAAGATTTGCTGTTAACATTTTGGCATTTATCTTGTCCTAGAATATTTTTTCTTCTTGTGGTTCTGAATTTTGGGCTCTTAAATATAAAATAGTTTTTGATATTCATATGTTCTGGTAATATTGAATCTGAGAATATCCACAGCTTCAAGTAGAAAGTTAGAACTTTTTGTGATTTCAAGGTGCCATTTAAATAGATGAATTCATACTACCTGTCATAAGTGGACAGTGGGAATGTAGCAGGGAAAGAAGCCAGGCTATTCCTTTTTTGTTTTTCCTCTTTCCCTCCCTGTCAGATTGAGTCAAGGAGAAGAGTGATATCTTATAAATCCCAAGAAACTAGAAGCCAAAGGCTTAGCTTCATATTGAGAATATTTTCAGACTAAGCTCCTTTGTGATATGTCAATACCATGTTTAAAGTTGATAAAGAGAAAGAAAGTCAGTAGCCTTAGAGGTAAATAAGTGGTATTTTCAAAAACTTCTAAATACTTTTTAATTCCTTTCTCTTAATGAATCAGGAGACAGAAAACCGGGCTCTGATTCTTAAGATTCGGATTCTCCAAGAAGAGGTATGCTGAAATTATTAAACACAGGTAGAGAAAAACATATGGAAATCATACAAGCATGAATTCTGACCCTGGATTAAACAGAAATCATGTGAATATTCAGACTCCTGTGAACAAAAAGACCAGTTTGCTTTGTCAAATGACAAGTGAGGAAGAGTGGATAGGACCTTCATGTCTGAACAGAAGTACATTATTGCCTTTGTAATTATCCATGGAAGAAATGGGGTTTAAGAAATTCAGATTTAAGATAAAATGAAATTAACCCATATAAAAAGTATACAAATCGAGAAGGAAAATGTAGACATTATTAATTTTCCATTATTCCACTGAACTAGCTGGAAAAAATCTTGAATCAAAGACCTAGTCACTGGGTCTGAAAGTCTGACTTTGGAAAAACCATTTATCTTTTTGGGGTTAATAATACCTATTCCCTACAGTTACTTTGGAGATTAAGATATTGCATATGAAGCTATTTGGTTAATCATAATGTGCTTCATATGTGTTAGGAAATATTAGTAAAATATCTAAAAAGTCCTATGCCTTAAGTTTTTTAAGCAACAGAGTTAAAGCATTGAAGCAACAGGTAACAGAGCTACTTGTAAGTTAATATTTTGGAGGAAAATTTTCTAATAAGTACCTTTTGAATGTTAAGTTTATGTATAGTTTTTTAATTGGGGCTTTTTATAAGTTTATCAGGGCTATTTATTAAGCTGTGATAAACAGTCTATGATGAAGAATTATCTCAAATACGGGCCAACCGGACATTAAAGAAATTATATAGTGGGTTGGAAAGGAACAATTAAAAGATTGTCAAGAAACCCTACATTAGATTTAGACATGGTATAGCAACAAGGCCAGGTTTTCATGAAACCAGTGTTTTACAGTTAAGCTCTCAGTATAAGATATTTTTCTCCTCATATTTAAGATGACTGACTAGCATCAAAGAATTGTACAGAACTGAATTTAGAACTGAGGTAGAAGGAGGAAGATGTGGAACCCTTCGTCATGAGAGCATTGCAATTATTGATTTGCATTAGTAAAAGCATATAAATGTCACTACCAGCTGAGATTCCTTTGGGTGGTAGAAATCTGATGCACTGTGAGAGTAACAGCACAATAGCTTGGGTAGTTACATTCATTCAACACATACTTATTGGGAAACCTTTGTGAGCTAGGACGCGCTATTCTAGGTGTTGATCATACAAGCTTACGTAGAAAAGCCCACGAGGAACTAGCATGTTAGGTGGTGATTAGTGCTATGGAGGAAAGAAAAGCAGAAAACAGAATTGCGGGACAGTGCAATTTAAAGGAAAAGTAGCCCTATGAAGTTAATCATTTGATCAGAACGAAAGGAGGTTTATCAGTGAAAGAGCATTCTAGGCAGAGGAAACTGTAGCTATAAGTCCTCAAGCTTAGGCTGCCAGCTCTTTTTGAGGGACAGCAAGGCCATTGTGGCTGGAGCAGAGGTAACAAGCACAAGAAGTACAGAGAGCTGCAGGGAGCCAGACCCACAGCATCTCATATAGGCATTGCATGGACTCTGGCTGTTTCCACTGACTGAGATGGGAGCTGTTGGACAGTTGTCAGCAGAGGAGAAATGTGATCTAATTTCTATTTTAACAAGATAACTCTGGCTGCTGGGTTTAAAATCAACTGTAGTGGGGCAAGGGAAGAAGTGGAAGACCAATTACGAGCCCTTGTAACATACAGGCATAAATTTATGGAGGCTGACTGCTGGAGAGAAGTGTTAGATCACCAAATGCTTTATAACATATCCAAACGTATTTATTATATGTTCTGGTGATATAGAAGTTCTCTTCTGATTGTTTCTAATGTCTCTGAGATAAAAGCAAAGTGATCAGCTGATAGTGAGGAAGTTGGAGGAAGTATTGGAAGTTCCAGGAGAGAGAAGGGATGAAATGGGCCAGGAGTTGGCAAACTTTTTTGTAAAGGATCTGATAGTAAATATTTTTAGGCTTGCCTGGCTAAAAGGCCTTTGTTGTAACCACTCACTTCTGCCATTGTCATATGAAAGTGGCCACAGACAATATGAAAAAAAATAGGCACCGTTGTGTTCTGATAAAGCTTTATTTACAGACCAGGTGGTCAGCTGGAGTTGACCTGTGAGGGTGCGGTGGGGTGGGGAAGTTGGTGTAATTTGCAGTCCCCTAATTTAAGCCAGGGGCCACATGAATGGACTAGGATTGTATGATATGATCACCAGTCAACACTGAAGTTAAAAATTATGAATTGAATGTGTGACCTGTTGCTTCATTTGTATTTTTCTTTAACAATGTTTATCTGGAAGGGTGCTGTCATGGAGTGGGTGGCAAGCTGAAATTAAGCAAATACTAAGAAGTAGGTAGGGGAGAAGCAAGGGAATAGAGGGCAAGTGGAAGAGCGGTATAATGATTGACCATGGGAGAATTTTTTTTTTTTTAAAGATTTTTATTCATTTATTTGAGACAGAGAGCACATGAGAGGGGGGGAGGGTCAGAGGGAGAAGCAGACTCCCCGCCGAGCAGGGAGCCCGATGCGGGACTCGATCCCGGGACTCCAGGATCACGACCAGAGCCGAAGGCAGTCGCTTAACCAACTGAGCCACCCAGGCGCCCGATCATGGGAGAATTTAAGCTGATTAAAGAGGGGACTGAGTTCACAGGAAGGGAGTAGGATCAATGCAGGCTTCAGTGGGGACTGAAGGTTTGTTGGCTCTCAAAGAAGTAATCTGAAAAGAAGAAGTGGTGGTTGAAGAGTGAGATGTTTGCAATTAAAATAATGGAGGGGTCACACTTGCTGGGAATGACAAGTCTGAAGATGAAGATGTGACTGGGGAGTGCATGGCCAAGGGGCCATGGAAGATAAAGGGACTCCCAAGAGTCCTGGATGGTCATGTTAAAAGGACCATGTTACTTTTGGATAAAGTCTAAAGTTTTGTCCCTTAATTTAAAATGGATTGTGATGTTAATGATGAAAATACCACTTCCTAAAAAAAACTTTGTTCTTTTATTTTTTTTTGTCTAAATTTAAGAATATTATCTTCTTTTACATCAGAATACTAAGAACATTATGGATATATATAAATTGGAAAAGAAGATTGACGAGTTGTCTAAAACTGAGACAGAGCACCAAGTAAGCACTTCCCAAATACTGGTAAAATATTTTCTTTTGTCAAACCAATATTACTTTGTGAAGGTGTATATGACTCATTGACAAAGTAACCTTTGATTATAAATTTTGAAATTTGTGTTCCTCAATATGTCTGAATTACAGTATATAAAACATGAAAGTTCCTCTCTCTTTTTAATGTAATGGCTTGACTGATCTATAACACACATGCTATTAAATTCATCCACATAAAGTATGTAAGTCAGTAGTCTTAGTGTATATTCACAGAACTGTGCAACTATCATCAAATCCAAGTTTAAAACATTTTTATCATCCCAAAAGAAATCCCTTTAGCAGTCACTCCCCATTCCCCACCAACCCTAGACAACCACTATGGAGGTTTTTTGTCTCTATAATAGAGATTTACTTGTTCTGGACATTTCATATAAATGGAATCATATACACTGTGTGGTCTTTTGTGAATGGTTTCTTTCACTGAGCATAATGTTTTTCAAGGTTCATTCATGTTATAGCATATATCGATACCTTATTTCTTTTTATTTTTGAATAATATTCCATTGTATTGATATATCACATTTTGTTCATTCATCTGTTGATGAGCATTAGGCTGTTTCTACTTTTTGACTATTATGTATACTGCTGCTATGAACATTTGCATATATGGTTTTGTGTCAATCTATATATTCTCTTAAGTATATATTTAAGAGTGCAACTACTGAGTCATATAATAACTCTATTTTTGACTTTTTTTTTTTGAGAGAGAGTGTGCACGTGTGAGTGGGGTGGGGGGCAGGGGAAAATGGAGAGAGAATCCTAAGCAGGCTCCACACTCAATGCGGAGCCTGATACAGGGCTCGATCCCACAACCCTGAGACCATGACCAGAGCCAAAATCAAGAGTCGGATGCTTAACTGACTGAGCCACAAGGTGCCCCTATGTCTGACCTTTTTAGGAACTTCCAGACTCTTTCCTGGTACCATTTTACATTTCCACCAGCTATTCATGAAGGCTCAGATCCCTCCACATCCTTGCCAAAACTTGTTACTATTTATATTTTTTATTATAGTGGCAATTTCTAATTTAAATTGGTTTTGGGGCGCCTGGTGGCTCAGTTGTTTAAGCGACTGCCTTTGGCTCAGGTCATGATCCTGGAGTCCCAGGATCGAGTCCCGCATCGGGCTCCCTGCTCACCAGGGAGTCTGCTTCTCCCTCTGACCCTCCCCCCTCTCATGTGCTCTCTCTCTCTCATTCTCTCTCTCAAATAAATAAATAAAATATTAAAAAAAGAGTATCTGGTTTTGTAAATCCCTTAATCAGCAAAGATTTCAACTGTTATACTTTCTTAGTGCAGAAAATGAGAGCTGGGAAAAATCTATCCTTGATTGAATTAAGGAATGATAGGCTACAAAAATGATTTTTTAACTATATTGCATCTAAAAAGTCTATATTTAGTGTATATTCTTGCTATATATTCCATACATTCTTATTAGGAAACTGAAGAATATTAATAAATTTAGGAATTTGTGTCATACTTATTATCATCTCTAATAGTTTCTTTGAGCAATATTTTTTGTTGTAGTGTATGTGTGAAATGATGTACTTAAATTTCATGTTTGTATGTGGAGTTTTCAAGTTTCCTAGCAGATACCTAAGTTCTGTATATGTGTGTGTGTATACACATACATATATTATGACATATATCTATCTCATAGTTTAGACATTCAAATTAATTTTACTCTAGGAATGACTGTTTTTGGAAAACACAACTGTCATAAACTAGTAGTAGAAAGAGTCAGAAGACATGGGTTCAAATCCTGTCTTCTCTACTTAAAAGTTTTATGACCTCAAACAACTAGTTATCCTCTTTAAGTCTCAGTGATCTCATCTGCTAAAAGGCTGTGATATTTCCTACCTAATCCCAAAGCTTGGTGGAAACTCAAATGAGATGATTATGTGAAAATACTTTTAGAACTATAAAGGGGTATCAAATATATATGATTATATTATGATTTCTACTTCTGACTATGCTGATTATTTTTCTAGGTTTTAAATTCAATTAATATATATATTTATTAATCATATTTAGAAACTTTTGCCAACAAACTTGCTTTTGGTTTGAATAAACTGATATATTCTAATATTTATTTTGCTAAAAGACCTCTTGAACATTTTAAACTGTTTTTAAAAGAGGAAGAGTCTTTTTTTTTTTTTTCTTGCAGTCCAGCTAATCAGATTTTGGCAAGTCTCGGTTATATTGCTAGATAATCTGTGGGTTTCTACAGTACTTGTTATCCAAGAGGAAGAGTCTTTTATATGTTCACATGGACTCTGTGTTCATGTTCTATCTAGACTTTCATTTTCACCAAAAAAATTAAGACTCAATTGGTCCTCTTACTTTATGAAGGGTAAAATAGTGGAAAGGGCACTTGGCGAGAGCTGAAGATTCATATTCTATCCTCAGTTCTGACCCTTACTGTGTAGGACATTGGGCTAAGTCTCCTAATAGTGCTGAGCTTTGATTTCCTCACTAGTAAAGTGAGGGCAACAACCCTGGCCTCTCTGGTTGTTGTGAGGTTGATGTGAAAGTTGTTTATAAAGTAAGAAACACATGCTCATTAAAGGGGCTTGAGAAACATGTCTCCCTATTGGAATGATTTGGGTGGCATTATCTTTTACCAAAGCAATGGCCTTCCCTAAATTTGTCTCTTTTCAGATGCAGTTACATATGTGTGAGAACGCTTTGCTTAACAAAGATGCAAGTTTGCAGAAGGTTGGTACTATTCCTTCCCATGAAGTCCCATGGGATTTGCTAACTCCCCCTAAATCATAATGGATATGGTCATTTGAATAAATTCACCCCTATCAAAGTACTTGATCCTGCTATTCTGACACAAGACTTTCCTTTATAATGCTTCACAAAAATGTTCTTCTGAGTGAAGAATACTGACTCTCTATCTGGAATAAGTTTTAACATATCCTCTCTAAATTTTGGTAGTATTCATCCATTTATGTAACAAATATTAGTGTGCCAATTTACCAGTTACTGGCTAGGTATGGTGATATAGTTTTAAGTCATAATAACACAAATGAGTGTGCAGTCATTTATTTTAGGGAAAAAGAAGAATGTATTCCCCAATTATTTTCTACCTAGTTTGATTGGATTTGATTGATAGGTAGATAGTAGGTAGATACCATTCTCTTTATCTTTATATCCTGTGATCATTGCCTATGTGATAACAAAAGATTCTGGCTACAGAGATGCTGGTTATGGTGGCTTTAAGAGACATAGGAAGGACACAGTCCAAGTTAATAAACTTCCCCTTTCCAAGACAGGGAAGTAAATACAAAGCAGTGTTTTCTCTTTTCCTTTCTCTGAATGTCATAAAGTTTCAAAGGAGTCATATGAATTGTGGACATTGATTGACGAGGTTACTGAATGTTGTATCGACTTTCTTTCTTCATCGTGGGTGTTGTCTCCATATAGTAACATTATGGTAGTGGTGGTGGCTCACTTCCTCCATAACTCTGGTCTTCCCACCACTTTGCATTTATGCCCAACATTCATAAGGTATTGATTGAGCACTTCCCATTTGTCAGGTACCATGCTAGTCATGAGATAAAATTCTAAGTCAGACATTGACTATACCCTCGGGTCTTAGAGTAAAAACTGTGATTTTAACAGATATCATTTGAACTGGATAAAAATGGATGCCTTAATAATTCATCAGTCATTTGCAGGTAGACTAATTTTTTTCCTTAAATATGCCATGATAATAAATATAATTTTGCCTTGAACTTAAAGATTACTTTTCAGAGTTTGATTCCATTGAACCAGGGAAATAAAAACATAATGGCACAAGTTAGGTACAGCTGCCTTGCTGTCCCATACTTTTTGTGTGTTTTTTTATTTTTTATTTTTTATTTATTTTTTAAAGATTTTATTTATTTATTTGAGAATGAGAGAGACAGAGAGCACATGAGAGGGGGGAGGGTCAGAGGGAGAAGCAGGCTCCCTGCTGAGCAGGGAGCCCGATGCGGGACTCGATCCTGGGACTCCAGGATCATGACCTGAGCCGAAGGCAGTCGCTTAACCAACTGAGCCACCCAGGCGCCCTATATCTCTTTTTACATGGGATTTTAACAAGGCTCCCCTCTGAACAAGGAACCTAATGCGGGACTCAATCCCAGGACCCTGGGATCATGACCTGAGCCGAAGGCAGAGGTTCAACCAACTGAGCCACCCAGGCGCCCTTTTTGTGTGTTTTTAATCATAAACACAGACTGGCTCAGTTTTCAAATAATAATATTGGTAGAAGGTCTTATCATCTTTGGGCATTGACAGTTCTTCTGTGGCTCTGATTGACAGTCTACTAAATATGCTTTGGTAGACTCATACATTTATTTGCTATTCTCTCTTCTACTTTTCAGAAAGATTTAAGTATAGAAGAACTTAAGTCAACCATCATAGAATATGGAAACATTATAGAGGTATACCACAATAATCTCACAGTTTGCAAGGTGGGGTTGTTTAAATGTAAGTCACCCATTAAAGTAACACATACAGCCTAATGTTGTATGTGATTCCAGAATTTACGAGGGGATAAAAACAAACTGACTCATGAGTTACAGCACTTGCAGCAGGAACTTATCATGTAAGTAGAGCAACTCCTCACCAGCCTTCTCTCATGTGCCTCCATCCTTCATTATTGGCCTGCTGAACTATACATAATTCTTTGAACATGCCACATTCTTCTCTTCTGTACTTGTATAGGTGATATTTTCTCTGCTTTTCTCCAATAGAACTCCTTCTCAAGTTTTCTATGACTTTCCCTTGCTTTTCTCTTACCTTGAAATTAAGCAATCCTTTTGAGTGCATGCATGGCATGCTGTTCTTCTTCCTTAACACATATCATCTTATAATAGTTTGTTTTTGAATATGCAAAATATGCTAGTCCAGGAGTCTACAGGAGCTGTACAGATATCAAAAGTGAGTAAGACCACTGGGGTAAGTCCACATACTTATGAGAGTGACAACTGAGAAAAATGAATTAGCCAGATGAAGCCAGCTAACCAAGAGTATATGGGCTCAGGGCACCAGGGTGGTTCAGCCGGTTGGGTGTCTGATTCTTGATTTCTGATCAAGTCATGATCTTGGGGTAGTGGCTTCTAGCTCAGCAGGGAGTCTACTTGAGATTCTTCCCCTCTCCCTCTGCCCCTCCCCCTACTTGTGCATGCTCACTCACTCACACTCTCTCTCAAATTATTAAATCTTAAAAAAAGAAAGAATATATAGGCCCAGCGCAGCTGCATCTTCTGATTTTTTAAAGAAAAGCCAGGACTCTAGATTTTTAGTGAAATTTACTAATTTTTAATTATTGGCTCCAGTTCTTTAAAAAAAAAAAAAAGCATGGCCTACCTGTTTACAACCACATAGAGTCCGTCACTAATCTGTGCAGCTCCTGGAGGATAAAGACCATCTGTTATTTCTCTCTCTATTACTGAGTGCCTTGTCCAATCCTTGGCACACATGAGGGCTTACTGTGTTTAGAGATAAACCCCATTTTGGTGGCTTATAGCATGGTCACATCTAACCAGACTAGACTATTGCTTTTGTTTTTTCAAGAAATGGGATCCAGTTGAATATTAGTGGAGAGTGTAATAGAATCATCTCTGAAGAAGAAAAATCTTTACATTGTGAACTCATTCTTGCTCAGTCTGCAGAGGTAGGTAATTATCAAATGGAAAGCTTGAAACAATAAGACCATATGCAATAGTTTTCTATTAGGTGAAGGCCCAAGCTTGCTGAGGAGTGACTGTGACATTTTGAGGAATCTGTTGATTGTTTTTAAAATCCAAGTCTAAGGTCTCTTAGCCTGAAAAAAAAAATGGACTTTTTCAAGTTATGGCTGAAAACCATAGTGAGGCTCAAGACTAGGGTTGAAGAAGCATGTGTTCAGTGAATCCAGCCTTTAGAAATCTTTATATTCTTGATATTTTTTAGGAGAAAGTACCTGTGCTGATCCCCAGCCTGGGATCCTAAAGATAACAATAGAGCTCCATGAACCATTTTTCAGTATTTTCCTAAACCCCAAAAGCAAATGTATCTGCCAAAAATAAAATTGCTTAGAAACAACATGAAATTTCTCTGCTCTAAAATGTAATTGTAGCAACCCAATGTAACGGCACTGATTATTACATTCTGAACAGAAATTAGAATGTTCATGTTTTGGTTAATTTTAAAAGGCAAGTGAATTATTACTTAAATCTTTGTTAGGTAGAATCAGTTTTTTACAGCATGGGAGGAAATAATCAAAAGGCTTCGTGGGGATGAAATGTTGGGGATCCCCCCCAATACTCTATTTTCACTCCTTTGTGCTTTCCAGTTTGTGCTTGTTATCTTAGGAAAAGCTTTATTAGCAAACTGCTTTCTTTTCACCATTTTGAGGGGCTCTCCCTGTCTGTGGACGATAGAAATGTCAGAATGTTCTCCTCTTGACAGCTGTGATGTGACCTTGAAAGGAGAGGAAGAATGTCTTTGGGGCCAATGCTGTTTGAATTTCTCCTGCCAACGATGCAGGGGCAACATATGCTGCCTTCATCTAAAGCTGTCTTGGGCAGCCTTGGCCATTCTGCTGAGGGCTATGCTTTCCTGACATCCTGTTTCAAATACTCATCATCTGACTGAGTTTTTGAAACCAAGCCAGACTGCCAGACTGAATGAAATGGTGGCAAATCTGCCACAGCAGTCCTCTGAGAGCATCATGATGTAAAGATGCCAGCCTGTAAAGTTCTACACTTCTCAGCAGGGGTTAAGCCGCTGGCAAAGTTCTGGCTTTGGGTTTATCCTATTAACGGATTAGGAACTTTGCCTTCTAATTGGAGTCTAGAAATAAGAGCTCTATAAATGTTTTCCAATAGACAACAAAAAGGAAATTAAATGTGGTGTTGCATTAATCTAAAATATGACAGAGATGGATGCTTTGAGAGAACTGTAAGAATATCCTTTGGTAAACATTATCTGGGAGTGTCTTTTATGAAAGGGAGGGAGAGATAAAAGAAACTAGTCTGTTATCAATGGGATCTGTTGACCACCCTCCCAACAGTTTTTTTTTTCCTATGAATTTCTTTACCTTCCCCTATTTTCATAAAATAAGAACCATAGCAGTTTATATTACCCACATGTACATGTTATCTATTGGATAAATGCTTTTCCCTAAGAATGAATAAATGTTAAGTTGAAGCCATCCTAGAGAGAAAATGTAAACCATTGGACAGTTATATTGACCCATGAGCATCATTTTCATAAAACAAAAATACTGTTCTTTATTAGAGTGACAGAGTTGTGGACATTTTAATAATTGTTTCAGAACAATGAAACCGAGTGGCAGTGCAGTTTAATCAACTTGTCATCTCTGGATATGATGATGGACCAAGAAATACTGCTATTACAGAGAACATTTGAACAAAAGGGAGTGAAATTCACAGCTATGCTTCGAAAGCTGGATTTGTATAACATATGTACTGTGGTGATTCACTGGCTAGGAACGTCTGCAGATAACTGATCTACACAGCCTGTTTGCTGAGTCCAGGCATATCTGTGTTTTGTCGACACCCAAATTATTCCTACTATGAAAAAAGATTTTTCTAAAACCCTTTTGAGGTTGATTTTCTAGTTCTGACTCAGTCAGTTCAACCTCAAACAGGTTGATCATTAGATATGAATTGTTTGGGCTTATTTTTCCCAATCTGTAGTATCAGAGGACTAAAGACATGTTATCTATTAAACAGTTTCCTTCTGGCTAGTAGCTAGTACCTCTCACTCTATTTTCATTTTTGACTGGAAACAAGATGATCAGAGAAAGTAGAGAACATATTCATGTTGGTATTTCCCGTCCCTTTCACAGTGCCTAGCATATGATAGGTAGTATTTAGTTTAATGAGTAAAAAAAAAATCCATGAAAATGCTTGTTTCCTATTTGAGAGGGGAATAAAAATGGGTACATTTTGTTTTGAAAAACGATTCTATCTGTATATATTCAGCATATATGGAGCACCTGACAAGAGTTGGCATTATGCATGGCAACATCCTGGGATAAAGGAAAGTCATGGGGTGGCATTAAATGAGAAGGCATTAAATGAGTCTTAATTATTATATATAGTAGACCTTTGGTCTAAATTACTTCTTATATAATAGCCTATGCCTTTCACCTGAATTCCTAGCTGAACATGTGGAACTTTTTCAGCATGAAGAAGTTTCTAAAGTTGAAACCCTCATGGATAGCTCTCTACAGTGGGTAACTGATCCAGAAATTACTGTGAAAGAGAAGTGGGAGAACAAGCTTACTGTAAGTGTTTTATATTTTGTGATTTTCCTGGTTTTTCTTCTGCTTTCTTAACCCAGGTAATACTTATTATATGCAGTACCATTTCTAAGACTTATTATAGTCATCTGCTATCTCGGTCTGTTGATGTGTATGGAGTGTATGTCTGGGGATGTGTGTGCATGTGGGTGAGAGTAAGAATGTGAAGGTGAGGGTGAGGTAAGTGTGTGGGACTGTGAGGGTTAGGATAAGTGTGTGTGAGGGTGAGAATAAGTGCGCGTGAACTTGAGGGTGAGAGCAACTGCGTGAGGGTGAGGATAAGTGTGTGACTGTGAGGGTAAGCATATGTGAATGTCAGGAGGAAAGTGAGAGTGAGGGCATGTGATGTGTTAAAGAGACAATAAATAAAATGATTTAATAAAAAAGTATGTTATTTGAATCCTATGACAATTGCTAGTCTAATCTTGGATTTTTCCTTGACCTATTAAAATTCTCTAAATTTGATAGAATGATTATTGTGCAAAGGAATGTTATTCCTGAAATTCTGACAATTTTATTATCCCAGAAATTGGCAGAACATGACAACTTAGGTAGCTATTTCCAGTTTTGTTATAAAGGAAGCATATAAGATGAAATTTCTTTATCAATTACTTATCTCTACTTCTTGACTGCCAGACAACTTTCTAATACCCATTAGCTTCCTAAGTTAAGCTAAAGCAAGACGCAAACTCTGAAGACTCTGGGATATTAATTTCAACCCCTTTGACAAGCACTTTTTTAAAAATTGCTTTTGCATATGTTAATCAACAAATATTGATTTTTATTGCATTTCCTTGTCTCATTCTATTCTAAAGCAATTGTGATGATTGATGAAATAAATCATCAGGGACCACTTATATTAAAAAAAACCCTCAATTTTAGGCACATAACAGGCATACAATATGTACTTGTTAAGTTGAGATAATCATTTCAAAGAATAATCAATCTTTGGGCAGTGGAGAATTGGTATCTGTTCAATTAGAATTTTCGGGTTTAATAACCATGAATACTATTGAGATAGGATGACCATAACATTTTGTATTGCCTGTCATTTATTTATATTTAACACTGGAATAGTAGAGTTTGTTTTGTGACTTTTCTTGTAGGAATTCAAATATATAATGGAAGAGAAACTAAATCTTTGCATATTAATGCCAAACAGCTTGGGAAACCACAAAGAGTCTCTTGATAAAGAATTTGTCAAACTAATAGAGATTTTGAAGAGATTCAGGCTGGAATATTTTTATTTCAGAAAAGAATTTCTCTCCAGGTGATGGTCATTTATATTTAAGAAACCCCTGCTTTATATACATGACACAATTGTGATTGTACTATAGCATCCAGTTTACTTTTTTCAAGTTGTATACATTGATTTGAGATGATACTTTTTCAAAGAAGGCATTTTGTCTGATAATTTTGAATTCTGAAATAGTGTGAAATTGACTTATATGTTCAAAATTGCAAATAGTGAGCTTTAAAATTTGTGGAAACCCTGTATAATGAGTTGTTTTCCCTAAAGAAGGAAGTTGGAATTACAGAATATAGAATTCTTTTAACCAGAAAGGACTTTAGAGATCATTTAGTAAAATCTTATAATTTTACAGAGAATTGAGGCATAAGGATATAAAGTGAATTGATCAAGACCCAAGAGTTATTAATGGAAAGTCTATGAAGTGATTTCTTAATGGAAGAATTTGCTGAGTCTATTGACTCCTATCCCACTGGGCTTCATTTTCTGCCTCAGTACACAATGTATTGCATTGGGCACTAGGACTAGTCAATTAAATTTCAAGGAAAAGAAGTCAGGGAATAGAAAACTCTAAATGTAAAATAATTTACTATTTTACTGTTCCTCTACCTTAATTCTTGTGACTGTGGGGAAATTCTTGAAATCTGTATACTCTGTAAACCACATACTAAACAAGGACAGCTCTTTATCTTTTATTGACCACTATTTATATAGCTGCTAGTACCATACTAAGCATTCCCTTAAGAAACGCTTTTTCAGTGAGTGAATGAACATGGGTGTATACTGAATTTGAGTAAAGTGGGAAAAAAAAAAATCAAGGCACATGGGTGTATACTGAATTTGAGTAAAGTAAAAAAAAATTAAAAAAAATAAAAAATCAGGGCACCTGGGTGGCTCAGTCAGTTAAGCATCTGCCTTCAGCTCAGGTCATGATCCTGGAGTCTCAGGATCAAGTTTGTGGATCAAGTCCCACATTGGGCTCCCTGCTCAGCTGGGAGTCTGTTTCTCCCTCTGCCCTTCCTCCTCCTTGTGCTCTCTTATTCTCTCTCAAGTAAAAAATTAAATCTTTAAAAAAAAAAAAAACGTTAAAAAAGGTAGAGACCAAAGTTGCTTAAAGAAAGTAGCCAGAAGAAACTATTTTATTCCCCACATATAAGAAAACTAGATACCAAAGAGAGGTTAATACCAAAAGGAACTCTCAAGAAAATGATCTTCTGCTTTCTCTAAGAAGCAGGGAGCCCAGACTTCCCCATAGAGGTAAAGGTATGGGTTAAGTGGATGTGCAGCTTCTTACATGGATACCATCTCCACAAAAGGGAGCACTGAAATTCTTCCAGTTAGCAACAAAGAGCTATTTGGAGAGGAGCCTGCATTAGAGTCATTTCTGAATAAGTGAATCTTCTGTATTATTCTACAAGACACACAAGCAGTCCAATTAAGTAACAGTAGGTGCAATTTGTTGAGAGCTTACTGTGTTGGAGGTAGTGCTAAAAATTTGACATACTTTTATCTCCAGAGAGGTTCAGTGACTCACCCAAGGTTACCCAAGAGGGATTAAGTGACAGCTGGGAGCAGACCTAGATGTGTGCAACTTCAAAACCTATGTTCTTTCAACTATTAATCCCCCACCATCTGCTTGTTCAAATTGAATAAAACATTAAAAATATTCTGGGAACCTGGCATTGGGCAAGATACTAATCACTGTAAGGATGGTTAAGCTCCTGCCTTCTGGATATAATTTAAAACAGACAAAACCATTTAGTGGCTGCAGACAAAATGATTTGGCTATCAGTTTTAACTATGAATAAGAATATAAGTGGAGTGGGGTGCCTGGGTGGCTCAGTTGGTTAAGTGTCCAACTCTTGATCACTCTTGATCTCACTTCAGGTCTTGACCTCAGGGTCATAAGTTCAAGCCCTGTGTTGGACTCCATGCTGGGTGTGGAGCCTACTTAAAATATATATATATATATATATATATTTTGCGGGGATGAGAATAAGAATTCTATGTTTAGGTGGAGTAGGAAATATTTATTAAAGGTAAACTTTTAGGGCCTGTTTACTGAGAAAAAGAAGGCTTTCATTCTGTTGCAAGATAAATAGTCTCCAGTGCTGAGGAATGGAGAGAACTGAGTGAGTCAAGGAGAGGCAGTGAAAGAAAAAACTGCTCTTGAAGATCTCAGTGAGAAAAAAAATATCATTTATGCAACACCCAAGTGCTAGCTCTTGCTGGTTTTTTTTTCTAGGTGCTAAAAAATTATATAAGACCAAAATCTCTGCATCCATGAAACTAATATCTATTAGTTAGACACAGACAGTAAACAAATAAACATATAACTATATAATATAATGACAGGGAGTGGTAAGTGATATAAAAATTAAAGGAAGATAAGAAGACCAAGAATGATGGGGCAGGAAGACCTAATTTTAGGAAGAATGGCCAGGAAAGGCCTGTCTGTGATTTATAAATTTAATGAATTGCTGAAGTGAGGGAGTAAGCTAAAAGATGATCTGGGAAGGGTTCTAGCCAGAGGAATTAGTTAATGCAAAGGCTCTGAGGTTTTAATCAGCTTGGTATATTTGAGCAGCAGCAAGAGGGCAGCATGGCTGGGATGGAGTGAGTGCTAGGCAATGGTAGGAGATGAAGTTAGAGATATAGGCAGGAGTTAGGCTCACAGCCTTGCAGTTCATGCTTAGGGATTGGCATTTTATTCTAAGTAGATGAGAAGCAATCAGAGGGTTATAAACAGGAAAGTAATATGACATATTTTGAAAGATTATTCTAGCTGCTGGTAGAGCATTGTCTATAGAGGGAGAAAGTGAAAACAGTGACACCAGTGAGAAGAGTTTCTTCAATAACAGATCACCAATGAGAGTTCTTGAAACCAATTTATCAGATTATAAGTCATTTTAAAAAATAAATATAAAATATCAGAGTGTATTTCATATAGTAAGAGTAGTATTTCATAAAAATATTAATTCAGCTATGTGTATGTGTGTACTTGGTTGAAATATAAAATATTTGCTGTGTCATGGTCAAAAAAAGCCACTGAGTTAGAAACTATTTTTTTTAAGATTTTATTTATTTGTCAGAGAGAGAGAAGAGCACAAGCTGGGTGGGGGGGAGCGGTAGGCAGAGGGAGAAGCAGACTTCCCACTGAGCAGGGAGCCCTGTTCGATGCAGGGCTCAATCCCAGGACCAGGGGATCACAATCTGAGCCAAAGGCAAATGCTTAACCAACTAAGCCAACCAGGTGACCCAAAACTATTTCAATAATCTAGGTGAAGGGGTAGAACATGAGTCAGGGTGAGTCAGTTGGTAAGAACTGGTTGGATTCAAACTGTATTTTGAGGACAGGTCAGATCTGACATGCTAGTGAATTGGATGTGGGAATGCAAGAAAGAAAGAGTCATCCTTGACTTACAGGTTTTGGGTCTCAAAACTAGGTAAATGGGGTTCTATTTAGATGGCAAAGTTTCAGGGAGAATCAGACTAGGCAGATGTAGAAATCAAGATTTAGCATGAGGACATGTTAGCAAGGATAGTTACTGAATTCAAAAACACACTCAAAGCTAATACTATATTTCTTAACATGATAGTGCAAGTCTCTATGGAAGAAAAATCTTCAAAGGTTTAAAATCTATTGAATATCTTTAATAATGGTACTATATAATTTTTAAAAAGTTATTCTTAAGACTGTTAGATTCATAATGTGCATTATTATCTTACAGGTACAAATAATATACATATGTAATATATATGATTAAAAGTTGTAATATTATTAAATGTGGATTTCTGTTGGTCCCTTACAGTCCTTTTGCTTTCCCTTGGAAGATAAGGGACAGTCTTGAGAGCTTAGACTATTCCTACAAAAGAGAAAAGTTGATAAAACTGCTGTCTTAAGGAAAAGAAGAGGTGATGTCAGCAAGAAGGAATAGGAAGCCCTGGGCCTTCCTTTCCCCAAGGGATATACTGATTCAACAGCAATATACAAACATATTCCTTTTGTGAGAAATCCAGAAACTAGTTGAAAGGCTCCTGCATCCTGGGTAGATGTGAAACCAGCCACATCATTGCTGGTAGGAAAATTCTATATACCCTGTCAGTGTAATTCCTGCCCTGGCATAGGATCTTGTGATCAGAGGGAATCCCCAAGCTCCTAGATTTTCCCTGGGGAGGAAAGAGTCAGACTGTGTCCACATTCCAACTTTTCTGAGGACTTCCCAAGATACTGGCTTTTGTCTCGCCTGTCTCAGAGTGCAGATGGAACTGGGCATACTATAGACATCTAGAGGACATTAAGAACAATGACGGCAGATGGAACCAGCATACAAGTGTAACTCATCATAGTCCTTCTCCTTGCCTCAGAACAAAGTAAGCAGATGGAAAACCCCAGATCTTAGCTTTTCCCTGGAAGGAAAGAATAGGATCACACATTCAATATTCCCACTTTTCTGGGGGTCGTCTAAAAGACTGTCTTCTGTCACACCCATCTTAGAGCAATGATGTTGCTATGATACTCTAGACACTTAGGGCCTACAAAGGACAAAAATGGTGATTTGAACTAGCACAAAGTTTTGAGAGCCCCCAGAACCTTCCCCAGACTGATTGGTATAAGTTTTCTCCTATATAAGTCCAGGCTGTGGAGACTGTGAGAAGTGGTTGTTTTTTTTAATGTGCAGATACCAACAAAAAGCGTCAGGAAAAATGGAGAAATATGTTCCATCCAAAGGAACGAAATCTCTAAAAACTGACCCTAATGAATCAGAGATAAATGATTTACCTCACAGAGGATTCAAAATAACTGTCATAAAGATGCTCAATGAGGTTAGGAGAACAATGCATAAACAACGTGAGACTATCAGGGTGCCTGGTGGCTTAGTTAAGCATCCAACTCCTGATTTGGGCTCAGGTCATGATCTCGTGGTCATGGGATTGAGCCCCGTGTCGTGCTCTGTGCTCGGTGAGGAGTCTGATTCAGATTCTTTCTCCCTCTCTGTCTGCCCCTCCCCACTCATGCA